TTGGGGCTGGCGGGGGCGGCGCGCTGCGGGCGCGGCTGGGGAAGGGACCTGGCTGCCGGCACCCGTGCCATCCGCGTCCTCTCTGAGGGAGCTGGGGAGGGCAGGAGCCGTGGTTAGGGGCGATTCCCGGCGTGGAATTAGCTAGGGCTGAGGGCAAAAAGGAGATTTTGGGGTGCTGGGAGCAGCGGCTGAATGCATTCTTTAACCAGCATCCAGCCTGGGGGCTGAGCGCGTTCCAGTGGTCTGGCTGCCCTTCCGCCGGGAGGGGAGGCGCTTTTAATTTTGCCTTGTCCCACCGGGTCCTGGTACAAACCCCCCTCTGTGCTGGTGAATAGCAAGGGCGTATTTGGGAGTGGAGGCAAACGTTGTTAATGGAGGCCTGAGGCCAAGAGAGGTTGGGGACAGCCTTTTCTTCAGGCCACGGCTCTCTAATACCTTGCAGAGTTTTGCAGGAATACAAAGAAAGTTCTGCAAAAGAATCCGGAGGGGTGAGGGGGGAAGGACAGCAGGAGGGGGTCGAGGGGAGGTTAACGCACTTGAAATGAGGGGTCACTCCAAGTATGGGCCAGGTCCCCAGAGGATGAAAGAGCTCAGGCAGTCTGGCCCTGCCAGCCTTTGCCCTTCTCCCCACAACTCTCCCAGAGCCCCAATCCCCAACCCTGCTCGTCCCAGAGAGGTTTGGGGCGCCCCTTGCAGCCCAGCTTGCGGGACGATGCCTTGCGCTCCAGGTCACTGTGCGTGCAGGGCTGCAAGGAGATCGGATGGAGGGAAGATGCTCACAGCTCCTCTGCTGCCAAAGCATCCTACAAGAGACGGTCCAGAGATCCTGAGCCGTTCCCTGCCAGCCCTGCCCAGCAAAACCCTGGCAGGACAGAGGGCACATCCCAAGGGCTTTCAGCTCCTTCCGTCCTGGGAGAAGCAGCTGGAGGGAAGAGCTGGGAATGCCCCAGAGAAACGTGCAGGGTCGGGCTGCGCGGCGACAGGATGCCTGGAACACACCGGCGCTTGTGCGTGAACTCCCTGCACGGTCCCCTCTCGAGCTGCGCGTCTGACCTCGCGTTGCAGCAAAGCAAAAATAGCCCCAGCCCCGGTGAGAGGAAGTGCACAGGGCAAGCGTGAGGGAGGCAGTGGTTTTGGCAGAGCTGTTTGCTGGGAAAGGTGGCAGGGAGGGTGAGAGAGGGAGGACGCGGCACCCTGTGACCCTTGTCTCTGCCGCAGGTTCGTTGCCTGCGCTCTTGCAACCCATCTCCAAATCCCTTGCGTCTCAGCACTAAAAATATCCCTGCCGCCCAGAGCTCTTTTCCCCAGCAGAGGCTGTGTCATAAGACCCTGCTATTTACAGGGCCCTGATTCAATTCGCGTAGAAGTGCGAGGAGGAGAAAGCCGGGAGCACCCTGTGACCCTTGTCTCTGCCGCAGGTTCGTTGCCTGCGCTCTTGCAACCCATCTCCAAATCCCTTGCGTCTCAGCACTAAAAATATCCCTGCCGCCCAGAGCTCTTTTCCCCAGCAGAGGCTGTGTCATAAGACCCTGCTATTTACAGGGCCCTGATTCAATTCGCGTAGAAGTGCGAGGAGGAGAAAGCCGGGAGAGCGGCACGGAGTACGAGGGGGGACAGGCCGGCGCGGCGAGCGGCGGGGGGCTGCGCTGCTGGGGCGGGGGTCCCTGC